CGTATTCAATAGGATACATGGAGAAACCGTAAGGAACCTGGGGTTGGGTTTGCTTGAGTTCATGTTCAGAGGTCGGTGTCACATATTCTGGCCAGTTGTAGTATACATAATAAGGTCCTGCTGTAGCATATTCGATAGGATACATGCAGAAACCCTCAGGGACCTGAACTTCTTCTACCATATATGTCGAGAGGAGAATGGTATTTGATACTTCGATTTGACTCATTTTTGCTAATTTGTTTTTAGCTGTGGTCTAGAATACTTGTTAAGTAATTAAACGTGGTTTAAGGTGGTAGAAAAAGGCTGTAAAGGCACTAAAAGCTTAGTGACAGTTCTCTGGAAAAACTCTTGACGCACTGAAGAAGATTCTGTGCTGGGAGTCTATTTATACCCTTCGGTGTGATGTCATGGGCACACCGTGATGTCACAGTGAGTGACATTAATCTGTGGAATCTCTTTATTACATCATGTGCCAGATTTTTTTTCAAATTGTGCTCTTTTTGCTTTTTGTCAACAAAATTGAATGAACCTTTATTAGTATGCCACCAAATCTCAACAGGCATCTCAGAGCTTTAAAAATAAAGGGCCACATTAATGCCATGAACAGTCTGGTTTAGTGTGATGCACCACAATCTACTGAAATCTATAAATAATTTCAAAATAGTTAAATATATACAATATATCTTATCTGTAAATAATATACAACCCATGCTCACAGGGCCCAGGCTATGGGCTCATTTCAAATCATCAAATGCAAGTCCTCTACATTTATCTGATTAGAAAGAGGTTATTTTTTTGGACTTTATATCAACTTTATATTTATATTAACGTTGTCCACGACAACTGTTTTTATAGTGTGATTCTTATTATTTATAGCTAATGTATTTGTTTCTCTGGTCTGTGGTTCCAAATTTAGGTTCCGGATGGAACTGAAGTCCAGATTCCAGAGCTTTGATCAGTATTCCAGAATCTTGGGACCATTTCAGCTCAACCCTTCATGTTATTTAGTTTGAGGGTCAAAAGTTGCCAGTTTGATGTTTTCCACCACTTGTGAGCTGAGTGAGTCTGTTATGGAGAGGAAATTAAATAAAAATGGACCATCCATGGCAGTGATCAATTTTGTCATCAACCTCGTGTTTGTAACTGACTCAAACCTCTCTAACCCAGAATGGTTGCGGCCATTTGGATTCATTCTGAGTGTTTTTACATTAGGCACCTTGTTGGGCAGCTAAGGGGTCCTTAGGAACACACTATGAAATCGTTTGCGCCACCCGGTTTTGTCTCCATTTGTGAAAAAAGTTTAATTTACGATTACAAAGTTATTAAAAATGTTATAGATTTGTTTATTTATTTTTCAATGTATAAAAATGAAGCGGCCTATTTCGGCGCTAAACTAAATTTATAGGTATGTCAGAGTTTGTTTTTTAATAACACCCTGGGGCAAACAGATTTAAATATTGGTGGGTTAATTACTATTTCACTCACAATTAGTCCTCAAATCTCTCAGTATCAGTTTCCCATTAAAAGGGCAGGCTCATGTTTCATTAGCAGACTCTCATTGGCTATTTTGAATCCTAGGACACTTTTCAGATTCTCTATTGGCAGAAATGAAATGACAATCCAAACTCAGAGATGGATAACTCCCTAACAAGGCTGCTGGTCTTTGTTCTGCAAACATGGCCTCAAACATGGCCAATTACATTTAACAGAAGCTTCACTGGTGAGGGTCTTTTTTTGTTTGTTTGTTTGTTTATATAAAATTGTGAAAATTGGCAACTGTTGGGTGCATTGACAGAGTTTGGCCACAGGGTGGTGCTGTCCACCAGAACCTGGGAAAGTCAGTCAAACCATAGAAATACATCACACCAAAAACAACAAAAGGCCACCGGAGGGGCCCACAGCTGGAGGGAATCCGTCCCACATCTGAAGGGTATCCGTCCCACATCTGGAGGGTATTAGTCCCACATCTGGAGGGTATTTTTTCCACATCTGGAGACTATTCGTCCCACATCTGGAGGGAATCCGCCCCACAGCTGGAGGGGATCCGTCCCACATCTGGAGGGTATTTTTTCCACATCTGGAGGCTATTCGTCCCACATCTGGAGGGTATTTGTCCCACAGCTTGAGGGTATACGTCCCAGAACTGTAGGGTATCACGAGCGTAACACCAGAACCCAAATGCACAACTCCAGGCAAGGGAATCAAAATAACAGTCGTTTAATTGGAAAATGGTCGGTACACAGGCAGGCAAAAACGGTGGTCAAGAACCGGAAGGCAAAAGGTCAGAAATACGAGGCAAGACGAGACTAGGAAAAAGCTTGGACGACTGACAAAAAGACTAGTACGAACATGCGACGAACAAGAGTTCAAGACAGACTGGGGAATACATACACAAGACAGGGAAGGAACCAATGAGAGGGGACTCTGACTCTACTGGCTACACTAGCCAACATGCACTACCCCTCCTCACTTCCCTTGATTGGACGGTGGTCTAACTTCATTCTTGACCAATGGCTGATCTCTTAGTGATGTTGATCTGGCAACTGTTTTAAATTAGTATTCAGTATCCAGTATTCTAGTGCTTTTAGTACTTTTTATCCCTAAGTAATGTTGATCTGGTACGAACACGCAACGAACAAGAAACAGACTGGGGAATATATACACCAGACAGGGAAGGAACCAATGAGAGGTGATTAGGGAGAAATCAGGAAATCCACGGAGAACAAGTGGGAAAGCAACACTGGGACCAGACAGGAAGGACCACAAATCAAAACAGGAAAACCGAAACGTGACAAGACACCCCTGACAGAGGGTGTCTTCCCGGGTGATGAGGGTACAGCCTTACTTCCTTGGTTCCCATGGAAACTGGATCTGGGTTGTCCCGACCGTTACGTTTCGAGGTGTGGAGTCAGATGATGGCCTGCTCCCCCGAGTAGTGTGTGTGTGTGTGTGTGTGTGTCTGTGTGTGTGTGTTTGTGTCTCAGATGAGCAGGAGACCTCGGGCAGCATCATCTACACGGTGGAGCTGAAGCGCTACGGGGGCCCTCTGGGTATCACCATCTCAGGCACCGAGGAGCCCTTCGACCCCATCACCATCTCGGGCCTGACCAAGCGGGGGCTGGCAGAAAGGTACTCTGGGTTCTGGGTTGTCCTAAAAGGGTTGTTTTGAACTAGGGATGGGACGGTTTCTGAAAACCGTCGGAACCGTTGGGTTGGACTGTCTCGGTTTGATTCGTGTGTGTTGCATACGGTTCATGCTGCTCCTTTTTCTCAGAGGGAAGCGTTTACACTCCAGAGCAGAAGGGGGCGCTACTGCGCCCAAAGCCAACCACCAGTAGGAAACAAGAAAAAGAAGTGAAGCAGCGTAGCCGATAAAAATAAAACGCGCCAACAGCAGTTTCTAGGTCTGCTGTATGGACCACTTTGCATTTAGAGGGAAGCACATGTTGGAATTAGCACTGTTTCCTCTCTTGCAATGCCAGAATCTCACCTACTTTTAACCTCAGACTGTCACAATAATGGATCAAATGTCAGACTGCTTTTTTCTTTCAGTTTTAACCTGACTACACAAGACATAATAGATTTTCCTAACAATCAACATATACCGAACCGAACCGAAAACCGTGACCACGAAACCGTGAATCGAACCGAACCGTGGATTTTGTGAACCGTCCCACCCCTATTTTGAACACACAGAATTAACCCTTTCATGCATGAATTATGATCATTTCAGTCAGGATTTTTTTCAGTGTTTTTTTAAACATTATGAAAAAGTATAATTTTTTTGGGGGGAAAACTGCGTTCATTCATGGATTTCTCCAGATGTCCACAAACAATACATGTTTTAAAATGTCTTACTAATAAAATACTGTATGTTACAGTGTTAACACAATGCATGAACACATAACTTGGCATGTAAGTCTCCTCCTATCCAAATATTCAGTACTATCTCATCGCTTTTCTCACTCCAGCTCATTGATTAATTTGAGTCTTTCTCAGCTCTAACAATAGACTATTGTGGACATTTTAAAAAATGTTTAATGCATCATGCTCCAGTGTTCATTTCAAATATAAAAACCCATATACACACAAGAAAATGGCTTTTAAATAGCTGTCCACTCTAGTGACCTCTATGCATGAAAGGGTTAAAAAACGACCAGATTTTTTTCTCACCACAAAATGAAACCAGCTCCAGGATCTGAACGGTGAACAGGGTTTGCCCCAGATTAACAGAAGTCCCCCGGAAAGCCTGATGAGCCGCTCAGTCCTGGATGGTTTAAAACAGTCCTGCATGCGTTTGAATTCCTCTTTCCTTGCAGCTCAGAATGAAATATTTAACAGCAGCTGGGTGAGAATAGAGATACAATAGAAAAATGCTTTTTCCAATGGAGAAAGTCAATTTATATGTATATATATGTGTATTTAATTCAAACATCATGGCCATCGTGTGATCTAAAACTATCGACATCCTTCCCCTGCTTTCGCGTCAACTCTCGAAACGAATCCCAAACAAAAAGGATCAAGGAGCTGATTTCCGCCTCTTTGTTTGAACCTCCTGTAAAGCGGAACATGAGCAAAGAAAGAGTGGGAATCAAAGAAATTTAGTGATTCTCACTTTAATGACCTCATGGCTTCTGTTAAATGAAAAAGCACCACTGAATTGAACCTGCCACACAGACCTGTTTAACCATTTGCTCTATTGTGCCATCAAGTGGACAATAAATGTAATCCGTACAGCGTGTACATAATGAGACTCTGGCTTTGGTGTCTGAAGCATTGAATTAATTAATCAATGTTTGTGATGACCCCGCCTCTCCCCATTGGCTACTGGGATAGGCTCCAGTCCCCCCGCCCCTCCATTAGGGGATCAGCGGTTACCATAATGAACGGATGGATGTTTGTGATGCTTATACACAATAATAATATAATATTTTATTATTATTATAATTTTTATTATTATTATTTTATTATCATATAATATTATTATTTTATTATTATATATTTTTTATATTATTATTTTATCATCTTAATATTTTATATGGTGTCTGTCTTTATGATACAATGACAGGGAAGCTTGAAAAGATCGCTAACAAACTCGTAATTAAGTCCCAAGTCTACAAAATGTGAGGGGGGGGGATTCATTGCATTTTGCTGGCCCTTAAATTTCAAAACGACATCACATACGTCATCGACACCAGCCTGGAGACGCACTTCACAGAAATCATCCTGGATTTCTCGACACCCGCTTCAAAGCCTCGATACGGAGGGACTCGTTGTCACCCATTTCATGGTTGCTTTGACCCCACAGGGCCAAAGCCTTCATATCTGATACAAATCGTTCCTGTTGTCTTTTGCTTTTGAAACATTTTGCATCACTTTACCGTCAAATCTGCTGTCTGATCATTTTTCACTCATCGCAGGGCAATTACTGGTAAATAAGCAAAAGCCAGAAGGTTTTTACCTCTTCTTTTTTATCAAAGAGCCAAAGAAAAACTGGCAAAAGCCGAGAACGCATATATAGACGGGTATAGTTAGTTGGTTAAAGGTTAAATGAGGTGTGTTTTTAGGACCGGGAACTGTCACAGGCTTCACAACACAGCGTTGATGATGAGAATTTTCCATTTTTTTTCCTATTATATGTCTTTAACCCTTTAAAGCCTGATCCCAGAAAAATAGGTAGAATATTGAATTTTTTAATCTAAAGTCTTTCTTTGGTCCCTCAACAACATATGAAGAAAAAAATTCCAAAATATATTTTGGTGTAGTCTTCTACTGGCTGTTTTCAGGTATGTCTGAATGTGTACAACAGGGGTTTGAGCAAAGCTTTTACCACTGAATGATGCAAAAAGTCTCGGATCCAAAAGACTTCAGAAACCGTATGCATCAAATATGATACATTTGGCATTATAGGGTTAAATGGTCAAATATTCGATTTCAGCTTGGAAATTCGCTTTTGGAGGTGGTATTTTGAGGTTGGGCATCGTTTCAAATCTTTTCTTTCTGTCAAACATCATTAAAAAAAATGTTCCGAGCTCCACGTGGAGTTGCCCGTTTTGTGTTCTGGTTGTAATCCGTTGTGCACCTGTGTGTGTCCAGGACGGGGGCCATCCACGTGGGCGACCGCATCCTGGCCATCAACAGCGTGAGCCTGAAGGGGAAGCCGCTGAGCGAGGCCATCCACCTGCTGCAGATGGCCGGGGAGACGGTCACCCTGAAGATTAAGAAGCAGCTGGACAGTGAGTGCTGTGGGTCCGGCCTCTCTGGTCCCGGTTTGGGACGGATGTCGGGATCCTGACTCTACCTGAGCTCGATAACCTTTGAAAACAGGCCGGATTAGCATCAGAACTGCCTCAGACGTTAGCATCCCGTCCCACTCGGCTGTCTGGGCGATCCCACTTTGAGGCGCCGTGTGTTCAGGCTCTGAGCTGCCACACAGGAAGAAGCCCCAAAGTCCTCTTAAAGGGGACATATTATGCAAAACCAAGTTTTTAATCATTTGATTATGTACATTTGGGACTGTGGAGGGCCTATCAGCAGGCAAAGTGTGAAAAAAAATGACTCAGTCATGTTTTTGTGGGCCGCCTCAGTCTGAATCCAGGAGATAAATCAGGAGGTTTCAGGAGTGGGTAGTTTCTGACGTCATTAGCTCTAGCTCATTATAATATTCCAGGAATAAGTGGGTGGATTGCCTGTGTCTCATTTGCATTTAAAGAGACAGGCACTCCAAAGCGAGCGCTCTGAACGGGGCTGTTTTGGCAGGGGGACTGAACTGCTATTGGGCTTCATCCTTATGGGATTTTGACCAAAGCTTGTCACAGACATTACATTAGGACACCAGGGAACTAGGTTAACTTGTTGAAATAGGGTATAATATGTCTCCTTTAAGACAGAACGGACGTATTTATGAGGCACTAAAACACCTGCGAGGCCCCGGAGCAGAAAAGCCAGAGCAGAAAAGACTGAAAACTTGTTTTGTAAAGTTGTCGAAGGTCTCTAGAATATTGAGAGTCTTTGTTTTTATTTCATACAAATGCCCACTTGGTGAAGTCTTCTGCAACCCCGGCATAAAAAACAAGATGAATGAGGAGAGGAGACTCTCTGAACCACTCGTTAGCCTCGTTTTCATTCCAACTGTTAGCCCGATTCTTTAGTTGGAAACCTGAGAATAAACCAGAGTAGATCAAAAGTATAAAAAATTACATTTATTGGACACAGTTAAGTGTATCAGCTGGGCTCTAACAGACAAAAACCTCTCTCTGGGTCTCAGTGGGCAAAGAGCCCTGACATCTGGGTGATGGGCATTATCTCCTGGGCTCCATCCGCCTCCTCAAAGGAGGACTGGACACAACCAAGTCCTATTGGCCAGTTACCTCTGGGCATGAACAGGCCAGGTCCTAATTCATGCGGATGGCAGGAATGTGGTAACAAATGGTGTGTGTGTGTGTGTGTTGACCTAAAGGTGGATCTAATGCAACAGAGAAAGAAAAAGAGAGAAGAGAGAGTCTGTGGTTATAGCCAGAGACTTCAAAACAAAATATAGTTCTATAAGGAATACGACAATCTGTAATTTACATAGATCATGTTATAGCATACTATGCTAAAGTGAGTAACTGTAACCAAATTCTAACAGGGGTCACAGCCAGAGAATATAACACAAATGTATAGTTCTAAAAGGAATAAGACAATCAGTCATTTCCATTGGTTATGCGATAGCATACAATGCTAAAGTGAGTAATTATAGCCAGATTATAACACAACCTCCACAGATCTAGAGGAGAGGAAGGCGGCGGACGTGGAGGACACGACGGAGAACGACATAAGCGACACGGAGGACGAGGACCTGACCGACAGCCAGCAGACCAACAAGCTCTCGGAGCTGTACTCCACCACGATACCCAGCGTGGACTCCGCCATGGAGTCCTGGGACGGATCGGGGATGGACGCGGGCTACGGCAGCCAGGGTGAGCCAGGAAGCCTTTAAAGGGGACATATCATGCAAAACCAAGTTTTTAATGATTTGATTATGTACATTTGGGGCTGTGGAGGGCCTATCAGCAGGCAAAGTGTGAAAAAAAATGACTCAGTCATGTTTTTGTGGGCTGCCTCAGTCTGAATCCAGGAGATAAATCAGGAGGTTTCAGGAGTGGGTAGTTTCTGACGTCATTAGCTCTAGCTCATTATAATATTCCAGCCTTTCACCTGCATGTTGCCCCCCACCTCAGCTGACTCCGCCTATCTGTGGCAGACGTTGTGGTAGCGTGAGCGTTAGCATGGTAGCGTTAGCGCTCTGAACGGGGCTGTTTTGGCAGGGGGACTGAACTGCTATTGGGCTTCATCCTTATGGGATTTTGACCAAAGCTTGTCCCAGACATTACATTAGGACACCAGGGAACAAGGTTAACTTTTTATAGGGTATAATATGACTCCTTTAAGCTAAATGCTGGAATGCTGTGAGCCGGACCTCCTCACCAAGCGTCAGGTTCGGACCACGTCTGCTCTCAGGGTCCTAAAACAGTTAGCTAATAGTTTGTGTCGGGAACAGATTTAGAGTTTTAATAAACTTTGGGCTTACTTCTTATGTATCAAGCAAGTGTTTGAACCCTTTTGCTGCTTGTGTGCGCTTAATAAGTTTAGACGCATGCTAAAGACGTCTTTTATGTTTTTCAACAACAGTGGCTCGGGGACGATCTGCTAAAGCTTGTCCGTAAATATCGGCTTCTAGACAGAATATGTAGTAACAAATTGACCCTCTAGGTGGCAGTGCCACTTTTGATGGGAGATGAGCATAGACTGTAGGCAAATAAGAAAAAGGTAACGGTTCGCTATGAAAGAACGTGTCACCGGTGAGACGCAAGTCGAGGAAGAACGGAATAAGGTAGAAACAAAATTTCCTGATAAAAGAAGAGAGTCTACTCTTTCTTTTGGTGTGTTCGGTGTTTACATAGTAATAGCACAAACTATTCTGTGGCTCACGAAAAATCAGTCAAAAACTCTGGCAGTATGGGACTCTCTGTTCTGAAAATGGCTGCCAGTCAATGAGTTAAAAAGAGCCATGTCTACTTTTTTTCACATTGCACAGGAAATCAATAATGGATCTGTAACTGGGTCAAACTTGTTGAAATATGGTATAATATGACTATTCCTCCACCTGCAGGCACCTACAGCCAGCAGGCGGCGGGCGTGGCCCTCCACCCCCACGAGTGGCGCAGCAACAAGCAGCCCCCGCAGCCGCGGGGCAGCACCCCCCCCCCCGGCCGGAGGAAGAACTACCCCTTCAGCGACGGGGGCTTCAGCGAGGACGACTGGGACAAAGCTCCAGGGTAGGACGGAGCCCGGGTCATTCTCCACTTTTGGGTTTTTTTTTTTTTTTCTGTGTCCTCCGGTTCACGAATCAACCGCTAATCTCATTGTAGGTTCAGAGAAAACTACACAAAAAATCTTCGTCCAGAGTTTTTTAAAATCCTTTTTTATTAAACACAAAACAGAGTCACATTCTTGGTTCAAGATATAGATTTGGATGTTTTAAACATTTCAAACAGCACCCCCCACCCCTCAGAACTACTGTGCGTTTACCCACAAGATCAATAATCAATAAAACAATAATGAGTCATTTATATGCACAAATACATCTTAGACCATAAAGAAAGGGAAGACAAAAAAAAAAGTAATTAACATGACAAATACGAATACAACCAAGGAGTAGTGAAACAACATAAACCATGTATATGCGTATATGTTATAGGTTTGATATATATATATATATATATATATATGATAGAGGTTTTAAAAATTTCAAATTGCACCCCCCCACCCCCCTGGCCTCTGCGTTAGTGGCAGCGAGGCGGGAGCTGAAGCCCAGAGCTGGCCGGGGTTGCGTAACCCTCCAGGGGCTGAGGGGGGAAAAAAAAAAAAACTGCACAGCCAGAGTGAATTAATCTTGTCAGTCAGGAACATTCAGTGTTAAAAGATTACTGGTGTTGGATTTAACCGGAACAAATAGCCTCGTCCTACGCCAGCTTTATCCGAGGCCACCGAGCAGCCTCTGGCTGCGGTCTGTAGGAGCCTTGGTTTGATATCCAACTCCTCCCACATCCAAGTCGGCCATTTTGATTAGGTCATGTGACTAGCAGCTTTCTGAGGTGGAAACGAAACTTTACTGTCTATACGAAATCAGAAGACAAACGATGTCCTAACCCTAACCCTAACCCTGACCCTAACCCTAACTCTAACCCTTGTTCCCTAACCTTGACCCTGACCCTAACCCTAACACTAACCCTGACCCTAACCCTAACCCTGAGTCTAACCTTAAACAATCCTGAGTCTAACCAAACCCTAAACCTCATCCTAACCATAACCCTTGTTTACTGACCCTAACCCTTCATAATTGTGAGAAATAAATATTTTTTGGTTAAATTTGTTTGGACTTATCGTACAAACCTATTTAACATCCACTATTTTACCATAATATTATGTATAGAGTTTAATTCAGTGTTTGCAAGATTGATTTCACTATTTTTAAATGAATGTCTATATTGCCATGAAGCAATTACGATTTTCTTGCCTGGGATCTTCCTATTGGTGACCCAATCGAAATGGCCGACTTGGATGTGGGAGTTGGATATCTATCCTTGGCTTCCTGCAGTCTGCAGCCAGACGGGGGGGCCTTCCTGAGGTCGGAGTTTCTGGATGTGTCGAAAGGTTATGCTGAGATAAAGAAGCTGATAAAAAATTACTGATATTCTCTAAACCGCTCCTATTTAATCGTGTAACATCCATAAAGTTGATTAAAAAAAGAACCCACAGGTAAAGATTTCTGCCTCGTCTCTGTAACCGGGTGGGGATGTTTTTTTTTTTTTTGGGTCCTTTCTGTGCAAATCGCACCAAAAGATGGAGGACGCGTTGATTGGCTGATTGTCCTTTTCAGGATGCTTTTTTTTGTATTTTTTCGGTGGCAGATTCATGGGCCAGCAGCCGGACGGCATCCTGCTAGACCCCGACGACAGCTTCTGGTGTCAGGCCCTGGAGGACCTGGAGACCTGCGGCCAGTCGGAGCTCCTCAGGGAGATCGAGGTTGGTGAGGGGGGAAAAGCCCCGAAGCTCACCGGCACGGACACGGCCCAGTGGGCTCTATTTCTAAAGAGAAAACAGCCGGTCTCGGCCTAATCGCAAAGGCCAAGAACGCATATATAGATGGGTATAGTTAGTAGGTTGAAGGTGCGGTCAGGGTACAAAATGACCGATCGCTTTATTGTCCGGTGTGAGACAATCAGAAGCCGTTAGCCGGTCGTGTGCTCAGCTCCGTGGGGTTGGACGGGTTAGAAAATGGAGTTTTAATATCAAACACATTCAAAATAAACAGGGAATCAACAACCAAAAAAGGAGTTTTTGTTTGAAATCCATCGTCCTGCCATATTATCCTGCAGTTTATCATAATTTTTATGAAATTATTCGAGGCATGACGTGGTTGCGCCGCCAAGCGCGAAGAACTGAAAACGATTTAAATAATATTATATTATAATATAATATTATATAATATTAAATTAGCACCGAATATGCACCCGACATGACGCGAGGCTATGAAGAAACATTCGGATTTAGTATGCTTTGGCCCACGTGACAGAATAGTACCAATCGGGCTTCTTTTGGTCAGATAGCTAACAACTCTGGCTAATCCCAAATTCCCACGAATTACGACCCCCGGGTGTGGTTAAATAAAGTGCGTTTTCAGGACAGGGAACCGTCACAGGCTTCACAACACAGCGTTGATGATGGGATAACAGACAGAGTGGGATTATGTGGAGGAAATCCACTCCCACCGGGAGGACACCGGCCAGCTGTCCGGTACATTCAATACATTCAGAGGAAATTCCTGAGGAAAATCTCTTGAAATTGGATTTGAACTGAATGAGTGAGTTACAAGCAGCCTGACAATACCAGACAGGTGAACTATCCTCCAAGAAAAGCTGCCAAAGTTCAGTTGAAGCTCTGTTATGAGATTGGCTGAAGATGGGCGGAGTCACAGGTGTTTGTTATAGGTTTATTTTACCACCAGGGAGAAGATGCTGCTTCACCTGTTGATTTTAGTTCAGATTAGACCTAAAACTCTGTTAAACTGGAGTTTTATGTGGCGCACAAATGTCCCGTCGTGGTGCAGAAATAATACGAAATAATATTAATAACAGATCATTCATATTAACATGAATTAAATATAAAACAATCATAGGATTGCAAGCATGTTTGCACAGAAAGAAAGTAGAAAGAAAGCCCTAAACGAGGAGCCGTGTGATCCCTAAAAACCCAAAACCAGTGCAGATGTTACTGAAAAACATTGAAGACGACATTAAATAAGGGCTGGATTTTGCATGCGGACCGTGCGGGTGTGCTCAGAGAGGCTGGAGGTGACTTAGATGTAGGCGTTCCCTTTGCAGGCCTCCATCATGACCGGCACGGCCATCAGCCTCGGAGTTGACGGGGTCAACAAGTCCTCTGCGGAGCCCATCCTGAGCCACAGCAGAATGAGCCCACTCAGGAGAAATTCCCTCCTCCACCAGGGGAACCTGCTCCACCAGAACGCCCACCTCCACCAGGGGCTCCACCTGCACGAGGAGGCCCACCTCCTCGAGGAGGCCCACCTCCACCAAGGTTACTTTTACAGCCGACTGGGTTTAAATTGGACAGAGCGTCCCTTTACATTCCCCTTCGGGATAAATTATTGCGTCTTTTACATTTCTTTTTTAAAATCCTTAAACTCTCAGACGTCCACCTCAACCAGGAGGCCCACCTGCACCAGGGGCCTCACATTCTCCATGACGGCGACTCGCCCCTCCTGCACCACGAGTCCAAGTCCAAGGCCTCGCTGAGGGTATCGGAGAGGACGTGGGAGTCCCGTCGGATCAAAGAGGAGATGCAGGGAATCCTGTCCCCCACGCCCCTGGAGCTGCACAAGGCCAGTTCAGACCTCCGAAGTTTACTTAATGGTTCAGGATCCGTTTAGGAGTCAGGATCGTGAAGTAACTAAGAACCTTAGAATTTCCCCAAAGCCTCTCCGCGTGCACCTGAAAGAGTCGGTCTGACTTCCACTGATTCTTATGGGTCCTTAACACTCGTGTGTCAAAGAGAAATTATCATTTTCAAAGCACATTGAGTGGGGTGATGGAGTTTTATGATAAATCTGCTCATAAATACTTTAAAAGCACAGAACATAAAGCATATTTTGCACAGAGTAGCGAACAAGTTAGCTTCAAAAGCTTTAACGGAAGAAACACAAGCGATGTTGCAAATTTAGAATTTAGAAGTGCACGTTTTTTGTCATAATAGCTAGAAAAGAAACCTCGTAAAAGCTTGTAAAATGAGATAATATCTGAGAGGGTTAACAATGAGCTGGTTTGTGTCATGTACCCTGCACATCCTTTTTTTCTGCCATAGAAGAAGTGAAGGTTGGTTCAAACTGGTGCACACCAGAGCTGGGAGCTGGGATCCCTAACTCTCCCCTTTTACAGCTTTTTAATGAACCTCTCCGGGTTGATTATCGTGCATCTCACAGGTTTATCCTGCAGCTTCTCATGCGTTTAAAAAAAAAAACTCATTAAGTCCAAAGGCAAGGCATGAATCGGGTGTGGTGTTGTATTGAGTGTTAAACTCTCTTTTTGTATGTCGCTTTCAGAGGTGGAAAGTAACGAGTTACATTTACTCACGTTACTGTAATTAAGTACTGGTTGTGTAATTCGTAATATTTTAAGTAATTTTACTTTTACTTAAGTACATTTTGACTCAGGTATTGTTCTTCGCTGAGTAGTACAATACTGAGTACTGAGGCATTTTTAAATGCAGAAAAAAAACAATTGCCCGGAACCGCATCATGATGCTAGCCGTTCTAAAGTAAACAAAGCAACTGATGATGGCTGGTGGTGAGGTAGAGATGGACGAGATAGAGGAGGTTGACGGCCAAGACAATCCCCGTGAACCAGAGAGCGAGTTAAATCGCTTTGGATAAAAGCATCTGCTTAAATGTAACAATAAATGTAAAAATCAATTCACATAAACCGGGAAAAAGTAGATTGAGGGATTCCGTTTTCTTTTGCGTCGTCCCCTTCCAGGTGACGGTGATGAAGGACCCGGAGAGCGACGACTTCGGCTTCAGCGTGTCGGACGGGTTCCTGGAGAAAGGCGTTTACGTGAACATGATGAGGCCCGATGGGCCGGCGGACAGAGCCGGGCTCAGGCCCTTCGACCGGATCCTGCAGGTATGTTTATGTTTATGCATTTGGCAGATGCTTTTATCCAAAGCAACTTACAGAGTAGACACAATCTTACATTTCTCATCACTATGACAATAAGCTATACAGAGGAGAAACACTGATCAGAGTCAGTGGTGAGATAGAGATAGAGGTAGAGGGACTACAGAAGGAGCTGTGGGGGGGTAGAAGTACGGGTTAAGAATAGGATAGGAGATGCTCTTTGAAGAGGGGGGTCTCCAAGAGTTTCGTGAAGACAGACAGGGACTCTGCTGTTCTTGTAGCGCTTGGTAGGTCGTTCCACCATCTCGGAACGACACATGCAAACAGTCTGGATTGTCTTAAGCGTGGTGAAGGCTCTGCTAGACCACAGTCCACTGATGACCAGAGTGATCGAGTTGTGACATAAGGTAGTCCACTACGACTAAATCACTAAACCCTGGAAGCTGCTGCTGCTGGTCCTTTACCTCCATCATGTTTGGGAGTGCAGTTCGCATTTAGCCGACTGCCTTTGAAAGCTTCTCCAGCTACTTTGAAGCCATCCGAGACGATGCTAAGATGCTAAAGGAGGGGTTCAAATCTTTACCAAACGGTTAAAGGTGGGAATAGTTTTGAAAGCGCCTTTGGAGAAGAGGCTGTTAGCAAACAGTTTGTGAGAAATCAGGTGTGGAGGTTTTCCCTGAACCTCTTCGTGAGTCTGGATCCTTTCTAAAGTTGTGATTTCCTTCTGTTTTTATGGGCGTGGGCAGAGATCTTTACCAGAACGCCTTCGGAGAAGAGGCTGTTAGCAAACCGTTGAACCTCTTCATGAGCTTGGATCCTTTCTAAAGTTGTGATTTCCTTCCGTTTGTTTTTATGGACGAGGGCTGAGATCACGCTGTTGGAGGTGGCTGAATAAGAACCCCCCCCCCTTCCCCCCCCTCCTTTTTTCTTCCAGGTGAACCACGTGAGGACGCGGGACTTCGACTGCTGCCTGGCCGTTCCCCTCATCACCGAGGCCGGAGACAGGCTGGAGCTGGTCATCAGCCGCAACCCGCTGGCCAACGACGACCCCGAAGACAACAACAACACCTTGGACCACCCGCTGGACCTGTGACTCCCCCCCCCCCCCCTCCGATGTTCGGTAGGTTCCCTTGCCTATG